TTTCTATATGCAAACAAGACAGAAACAAACAACAATTGGAGGGCGTGTGTGGACACGTGGTCACAAGACAACGTGAAATGAAGGAATGACAGGTTAAAGTCAGCCCCACAGTGCGTGCTCATGCACACGCGGCCCTGGAGGCAGAGCTGGGGACAGCGGCCTTCCCCCCAACCCTGGCCCCCTCCCTGCTGCCCCGCGGGTTCCCGAGTTGCCTGGTTACCAAAGGGATCCCTCATCGCTCAGAGCCCCCATGTGAGCCCCGCAGGGCTGCTGAGGACCCTAAAGATGGAGATTAATGGCGGACTTCCGCCCAGCGGCACTTCACCGAGCCCAGCTCACTGCAAGGGCCACCGGGGCCCTCAGGCCTCCTGACCACAGCTCACCACAACCCCGAAGTCCAACCTGCCACCCCCAGTCTGGCGCCCCAGGAACTAGTGGCATCTAAGCACAGGCGCACACGGGCCCTTCTATTCCACGTGGAACTGGGATGGCCCTAGGGGTCCCCCCAACAACCACCTTCTCCACGTGGAGCTGCCCCCACCTCCCGCCAACACCACCTTCCTTCCAGCCCCTGACCCTGGGCCAGGTGAGTAGGTGCCTCCTGTTGCATCCACACCTCCGGACTAGAGCATGGCTGATTTGAAGTGAGGAGCTAACTTCCTTCAAAGTGTTTTGTCACATTGTGACAGAGCAAGAAGGAAACCCTATGGGTTGGTTACACAACCTAAGGATGGCATCTGATTTTCTAATGATGTGGCGGTCAAGCACTTTCATGGGCTGGCCTACCCCCATTAAACTCCATGGTACCACCATAGCAGTGGAATGTCAGGGTCTGAGGCTTTCCACCAGTGCACCTATGGCTCCGTCTTTCTCCATTGTGTGAGACGATCTCTGGGTTTTGTATTGTTTTGTTTTATTTGTTTGTTTGTTTTGTTTTTTTGCATAGTAATCCATTTGAGAAGCACAATGAAGACATTCCCCAAATTTCGACTTCACTTTGGAAAGACACGAGCCATAATAAATGCTAGAAACTTGGGAACTGTGTTATTTTCAGTATAGTTATTTCTCTTTTTTGGCAGTAAATTATTGTAAAGGAAATAAACCGATGAATTAGAAGTAAACATTAATATGTATGACCCTGACATCACTTTCACTGGTGATAATAAAACATCCAAGGGTCACAAAGGACCAGATCTAGCCGGGTATAAGAACTAGGACAGTATTAAGGAGGGTCAGTGTCTGCTTTGGTCTGAATGTTTGTGTCCCCCAACAGGTTTCATATATTGAAAATTTAGTGCCCAAGAGGATGGTTTTAGGAGCTGGGACCTTTGGGAGGTGAGTCAGTCAAGAGGGTAGATCCCATATGACTGAGAATTATGCCCTTCTGCTAGTCTTATCATTCTTAAAGAAAAGGAGCTCTTTTCAGCTATTAAAGATTAGATGGCAGGAAGAGGATGAAATTTTCATACGAGGCTTAGTCTAGCTTCAGTTGGTATCTCTGACCCAAGTTTCTATTTCTCCTCTCTGGAGGGTCATGAGAGAGGTGAGTAAAATAGCCAGATATTGTGTGGAGAAAAGGTTACAACAGGGTACGGTGCTATGGGCCCTGGACCTGGTTAGGTCAGTAATCAACTCTGTGATCTGCCTAACTCACTTACAGCTTCTGGAGTCAACTCTCCTTGTGTGTAGTGAGGGGGTTCATTTAATCTAAAGCTAATGTTCTGGGGTCTGATTCTTACCCAGTCTTGCCAGTTAAACACTCTAGTGAAGATACCTAACTCACGGCCCTTCACCTTATCCCCACCCCCTACCTTACCCAGCTTTATTGAGATTTACTTGAAATGTAACACTGTTTAAGTTTAAAAGGTGCAATGTGTTGATTTGATTCACTTCTATATTGCAAAATGATTGCCACTATAGTATTATTAGCTAACACCTGTATCACATCACATCTTTACCATTACTCTTTTTTTGAGTGAGAACATTTAAGATCATCTACTCTCTTAGTAACTATTAATGTATGATACAGTGGTATGAACTATAATCACTGTGCTGCACATTAGATCCTCAGAATTTATTTGTCTTATAACCGGAACTTTGTACTCTTTGACCAATGTCTCCCCATCCCCCCATCCCCCAGGCCCTGGTCACCAC